TTCCTCATTAGTGGTTTTTTTATGGCTCACTCTGTTTGTACGAGACAAACATAATGAGTTAAATTTTCCATAATTTTTAAGATCTATAGGACAAATATTGTCCCCTTTTATAACAAGGAGCTTGAGGTTTTTTTTTTGAGTGTCAGTTTTGGCACAGATAATCTCACTTTTACTATTTATTCTGAAAAATCACCACTGCTTATTTGTTAGGAGTCTTGTTCCCTCTGACTTCAGTTTTATCTGAACACCATGTGGTCTTGTTCGCTGGGTCCTTCATCCAGCAATGGCAAATATCTGGTTTCTGGTGACAAATTTATTTTTAAAATATGCTTTTCAACTTGTTGGCCTTAGTGTGCTTTTGCCAAACATAGCTTCAGTGCTGCAGTTTCTGCTTGTGGTCTTGGCTCTGTGTTACTACAGCTTAGGGACTGCCTTTGAGCACGGTTTAGTTGACCAACCTAGCACTACGGCGGTGAGTGCTCTATGGCAAATATCTGGTTTCTGGTGACAAATTTATTTTTAAAATATGCTTTTCAACTTGTTGGCCTTAGTGTGCTTTTGCCAAACATAGCTTCAGTGCTGCAGTTTCTGCTTGTGGTCTTGGCTCTGTGTTACTACAGCTTAGGGACTGCCTTTGAGCACGGTTTAGTTGACCAACCTAGCACTACGGCTGTGAGTGCTCTGGCAAGGCTGGTGCAGGGTCAGTAGGGGAGAAGTCTGGTTTCTGCCACCTACAAGTTGTGTAGGTCTTGGTTTGCTCAGCTCCATCCGCACAGCAACCTGGAAGAGGTGGCTTGTACACAGCTGACTCTGGGAATGATGTGGATGTAGCCTGGGAGGCACTAGGAGATGGGCCACTGAGCGTGGCCAACGTTGGGAGTCACCTGGGGCTTCAACCAGCAAGAGGGTTCAAACTATGGGGTGGGGTTTTTTTTCAGTGAATCATAATGTCGCTGAATTTGAGCAGATTTTTATATGAGAAGGCACTTGTCTGACAGCAAGGCTGCATCTGCCAGCATCAAACTCCTCCTGCAGCAGATGAGAGCAAAACCTTGTCAAGGAAAACATTGCAATTACCTTTGATATGCAGGATAGTTGTCTTTGGCGTTTTTCTCAGAACGGGCCTGTTCTGTCTAAAATATCTAGAGGCAGATAGGTACTATAAATACGAAGTAACTGAAGCAGTGTCCATGTGAGAAGTGCCGGGCCACCCCGGGGGCATCCCTCTTCCACGCAGCACGTCAAGAATCCCGACCGTCCCTCCTTCTGCCGGCTGGAACATGTCTGAAGGACGCTTGGTATCGCTGTTAAGGGAGACATAAGCACCACTTACCAAGTTTGCTCTTTCATAACTGATGTTTGTAAAACCTCAGACAAAATTCTGGAGTTTGTGGTTTGTGGGTTTAGTCATTGTTGTGGAGTCATTTGTTTTCTCTGGTGCACTTAGATGTTGAATAACTTCTTCCAGCGTCGCTCTTAGAAATTGTGAAGTAGTGGTGCCTCGCAGTATTGTGAACTGACACGTACAAAAAAGTTCGATTTCCACCATTAAGAACATACTTAGTGAGTAACGAATGGTAAGCTGGGGGTGAGGATAGACATAAAAACCAGCACAGTGCAGCTTGCCATTGCAGTGAGTAGCAGCAGGGAGAAAGTAACTCTGATCGCAGGGTTATGCCTGTGAGTTTATCGGTGGAAGATGCCAGATTGGAATGTCCTTCCCTCTCTCCTTCAAGCCCCTTGTCCCCCTTTCCCCCAGGAGTAATTCAGTTCTGGGTGCTGACTCAGCTGAGCTGAATTTTCTCCATCAGCGAATGCCATGAGCAGCAGGAGCTGCGGCGGCTGAAGGAGGAGCCCTGCTCAGGGCAGAGCAGCAACCTCTGCTAGAGCTCCCAACAAAACGTCTTTGAAATCTCTTTCGGAGGTTTGTTGCTATGCTTGGAGGAACAAGCAAACTGAAAAGTCTCTTAAATAATTCTTGCAGACTGATGAACAAATTTGATTAAGATTTGGCAGCTTTTGCTAATATTGCCTGTAACTAGGAAATCTTCCCAGGCAGCTCTCTGCTCTGTATAGGAGAGGGCGCCCTCATAATTAAATGGTGAATGAAAGCAAGTGTACTGATAAGCACATTGGGTTGTTACTCAAATTGAGGCAGCACAAAACAAAGCTATCCTTCTGTAATCCCTTGGGGTTGTGTACAGGGTTGTGTACCCCGCTACATCAGAGGCTATGAGAGATGGAACCTGGATAATGATCCTGTGGTCCAGAAATAGGAAAGTTCCCTACCCAGCTCTCCTGGGTTTATCATTATTATTATTATTGTTTATAGATGCAAGTTGCTTAACCTGTATGTGTGCTGTCCTGCAGTGTAGTTCCATCAGCTTGGTGATGCTACATTTCTGTTTTACATTTAAAAAAAAAAAAAATCCTATTTGTTTTGTAGAACCTTAATGTACTCTCTGATAATTTTGTGTGTTGAAGTTATTCACTCCAAATTTCTTGTATAGTAGCCCGTATTTGATTAAGTAACATGAAATAACATGAAATTCATGTTGTCGTTAATTCAGAAGCATGGAAGCTGCTGGAGTTTTAATCCTGAAACTTTGGAAGCTGAGGTTTTTTGAGGAGCCGCGTTAGGCTCCCTGAGCAGAAGAATTCATGTTGCTGCGTGGATGCTGTGATACTGTCATCAAGCGAGAGGTTTAATGTTGCCGCTGAATTAGCTGAAATAATAGCAGCAGGCAGTACGTGAAAGGTAACTTCCAACGAATGGAAAGTCACCTTGATATCTGAGATATTTGAGACTGGTAGGATTCAAAATAAAACCATCCCCAGGCGTGGGGTCCGGGGAGCAGAGAGAAGTGAATGGACAGAAGGCCGTTATTCAGAAACAGGAACCGTCGACAACAATTGCTCTTTCTGGTATTACTGTAGATAAAACTGACAAGTTAAATGAGGGAGAATAGAAAGGTTTATTGAAATGCAGTGGAGAAAACTAGTATAGAGGAGCCAATATATAGATGAGCTACAAAAAGATGGGCTTTCTAGGTGAACATGAATGACTCTTAAGAATTTTACATCAAAAATAGTGTCCAGCCTGTACGTTTTGGTGCTTGTTTTTCTTCACCAGTCTTTTTTTGTATGCCTAGAATGTTAAACCCAGTGCTGCAAAACATTTAGTATGACTTGGAAGCTAAATGACTAGGAAGAGGCTAATGCAATGCAAGGAAAAAAAAGCTGCTAAACTTGTCCTGGAGTCAGAAATGTAAATAACAACAACAAAACCATCCTGCTGTCAAGCATCGCCGGGGCAGGTGGAAGGCATTATTTCATTTTGCTTGTTTCAACAGTGGCATTTGTACCAGAACTGAACTGTCCTCTGAGGCGCTCCCTTCAAGACTAACAAGCAAGAAAATGTGAAATATAAATAGTAATTTTCAAAAGACATGGAAAGCAACCTTTTTCCTGTTGGAATTGTTACACTATTGCCTGGTGGGCCCTTAGGATGCGCCGCAGCATTACAATCTGTTGTGTTGTTATAAAAAGAAACATCCAACACAGATACATTTTATCTTAATCCCCAGATGACAAGGGAAAATGCATAAATTTCTGATGGGTTGTTTGCACCGTATCCTTCATAAAATTCAAATGCCACAGGAATTGCAGCGGAAGACAACTCACAGCAGTGCAGTTGTACAGCAACACCGCTGAGAATTAGTGTTTTAAAAGATATTTATAGGGAAATTGCCTTTTGCACATCTCACGGTGCAAAGCAGCATGGCAGTTCTCCTGTAGGATTTAGGGAGAAAATTTGGTGAAGCTGCTACTAAATTAGTGTTTTGTTATATTGTTTGCTTTGGAGGGCAGAGTTATCCTTTTGCTGGTGGCTGGACAATGCTTTAGAGACTGATTTTTAAAAGGAGACGAGGAAGTGTTTGTGGCTGCTCTGCTGCTGTTAGGAGAGCAGCGTGTGTATTCACTGCTCCCCGCTCAGCATAACAACCTTTGGTGGTAATGACAAAAATGAACAATCACAGGGAAAAACTGGCAACCCTTGTAACTGAACTTAAGCTTTGTGCTGTGAAACACCGCGTACAGCAGCATGACACGATGGTTTCCACACTAACAAGGTTTGGTATGATCCACGCATGTTAGAACGAGATTTCCGTGTTCCCGCTTTCCTGTGCGACCTTTCCCGTTAGCAGTCCGGCTCCCTTTGGCTGCCGGCAATCCTCCCTGCTCGCGGAGAGCTGCAACATATGGATGTGGGCAGAAGAAAGGGCAAGAAGAAACAGCCATAACAATAGGGATAGCTTGAAAACAGTGCCCTACTTCAGGATAAGTCATAGTGTAAAACCTGGAAGAGGTCAGAACTTCACCATTAACATTCCAACAATTTATTTTAATAGCTTGAAAGATGGGAAGGTTTGCTATTTTAATTAAACCAGGGGTTTCCTTCATCAGCTGTCTGTCTTTTCTCACTGGAATAATATGAGAAATTGGATGCTGATGGCGTCTGGATGAACCTGCCCTGTTTACAGGGAAAATCTTTCTTCCTATAGGTATTCTGGTTTTGGGGAAAAATAGCCAACCTGTAACTGTCTCAGTTCTGTCTCCTCCTGCTACTGTGTTGAATAATAGTAAACTAAAAAAAAATTACATATATATAGTAAAAAAAAAAAAAAAGCTCAAACTTAAGAAGTCTCCCTTCCTTTTTTTTTCCCCCAGCAAAGTTGTACAAAAAAAAAAAAAAAAAAAAAAATTACATATATATAGTAAAAAAAAAAAAGCTCAAACTTAAGAAGGCTCCCTTCCTTTTTTTTTCCCCCAGCAACCAGAAGAG